CCCTTCATGTGGCGAGCCAACTTGGAGAGGGAGAGAGTAGGACGGTTCCTTCTAGAGGTCTGGAGACGCTTCAAGATAGTAGCATTGAAGCTAGACTCCGTACGACGAGCCAAGAAGGAGTAGAGCTTGCAGAGCAGGCGGATGTAGGGGTTCTCAGTCTTGATGGTCTGACGACCGGGCTTCCTCACGCGCCCACCAGCCTTAAGATCGATACCCATGGCGAATGGATTTGTACCTATATTTAGCAGATCGGCCCAGGCTATGGGTCATCGATCACGTGATCGATATCGCGGAGCGTGAGGGCGCAGCGACCCACTACAGCGCAAGATCCCTTCGACTCTCACTGGATCTTCACGTTCACATAGTTGATGGCCCCAGACCAGGTTCCAATGCACGATCCCGTTACTGCCCCAGCGGCGGTGCCCCTCGCCATACGGTCCCATGGAGAGGTTCTCCGATACCAAAAGTTCGGTCTCCGTAATGTCACATGGTCAACAATGTTGATTTATCTCGCAGGGGGTGAGATTCCTAGGCCTCCGATTCATTGCCTGATCAGTTGTGGTGCTCCCCGACACGATAACAATCCGAGGGACCGAGGGAGTGAACTCGTACCAATATACTTCGAGTGTCACTGCCGTCTGGGGCAGTCACTGACAAAGAAACTCTCTCGAGGAGCATCGAAAGCTCTCGCGAATACCCCAACGGCAACTGAACAGCACTAATGAGACCCACGTCACTCTACTACACGACGCGTGCATAGAGAGCAGTAGGTCTTTCTAGATGTAAACCCGCACGTTCTAGTATACAATACACCTCGGACATCTCACCGACTGTTAGCTCAACGCTAACCGGATCAGAGAATGATTATTAGCCATTCTAGTACCAAACCAGTCCACCGAGGGGGAACCAAACGAGAGTTTTCTGACTCAGTGAATCTCTAGCAATGTCGCCGACCGCCTCAGCGGATACGCAAACCCCTAGTCTTACTGACCTCAACACAAAACCACAGGTAATACACGCAAATTGAGATTGCTGAACGCCATGAAGCCCCGGCAGGAGTCCAGACGGCAAGCCATTCTCATTAACAAAAAGTCGATATCGATATCACGCATATAATTGATAAATTGGGTTCAAAGAATCATTCAAAACTATTGTTCTCTCATCTTAGTAGCCCCAAGACCAATACGAACTGGCTGACCTGGACGAAGCCTGGGCAGCAGCAGCTGGTTTAGCAGCGGTCTTTCCACTCTTGCGAATGGAGGCCTTCACGGACTTCTTGGCAGGGCGAGCAGCAGAGACCTTCTTCTTTGTGACTCTCTTCTTCGTCTTGGACGCAGTGCGCTTCACAGCTCTCTTAGTGGTAGCGGATCTAGCCATTCTGAACTTTAGGATTCGCAAAAGTTACGTGTGCTGCAAGAACACCACTTCAAGACATCTCAAGGGGCATCCTAGGAGTTGGTTCGACCGTCTAGACAAAGTTACGGCCAACAAGCAACAGGAAAAGATTGTAGACGAGACGGAACACGCAGGAAACACAATTTCGATTTTCAGGCGAGCGAGAAATGCACTGTGTCTCTGCGTCTCGTCGCAGCGAGTCAGGCGTTGGTCGTTACCTTTTCTTCCCTATGCGTAGCCTTTTTATTTGTCGAGTACACTATGCAAGGCGCCGTTTATTCCTCAGTCTCTACTACCTCGTTCAATCAGCCCTATGTAGCCCCTACTTATGGCTACCGAGGGGGGCAAAACGTTCGATGGCATAATACCTGGTCGGCTACCACCACCACCACGCCAGGTCCAGCGGCTAAGCTAGCGTCGTCCACTCGGAGAAAATATCCGTCGGCATCGGGTCAATTGTGCCTTAATTTCACTAGGACAGGATACTGTCGTTATGGTGATCAGTGCTATCACTATCACGATCGCGATTCAGTAGCTTTCTGCAAAGGGTGGCTAGCCAACGGAACTTGCTCGCGTGGTGGGAAGTGCACGCTGACCCATCCTGACATAGCGGGTCCTAAGGACCCTCGACGAACTCCGGAATGTGGAATATTCTTGCGGCATGGGAAATGCCCTATGGCGGACAAATGCCAATATTTACACGTTCAGAAAAAGATTGATACGCCTGTCTGCAAGTCGTTCGAAAAAATTGGATTTTGTGAGAAGGGTAAGATTTTGTGACAACTTGAAGGTCGCGAGTTTGCTTTCCCCCCTCAAGTGCACCGTTTCAACGTCTGCTTGGACGGAAACGGTGACAACAAAAAATGAGGTGTTTTTCTGCTGCTCTGTCAGGCTCCAAGTGCGACAAGCTCCATTACACTGCTCCTATAAGGCAGCAACTGAAGAGAGAATCTTCCGACGATTCGGCCGGTGACAACAACAACAGCAATCAACAACAGCAGCAGGCAGGAGAGGGTGCTAACCCGAGGAAGAAGGCCAAGGGCCTAAGCAAGGCAGAGATCGAGCGGAAGTTGGATGAGGAATGCATATTAGCATGGGAAGCAGGGAAACTCATGAAAATGTACGATTGAAGAATGTAAGGTCTGTACCGAGGCAACGGTGTCTAGTGGAATTCACCACGATTAACCATTGTTGTCAATATACGGGAATGACTCATTTATACCAAGTTATGTAGCATTTCCCATCGTGTGGAATCCTGATACAAAAAGTGCTGTTGAGTTGTTCATAGTAATACTGAGATTTGGCAAACCTGCAACTGGAAAAGGAGATGATGATCGAGACCTCACTAGTCATAAGTGAGAGCACTACTCTACTAGGAAATAAAAATGACGGAAATGAGACACTAACCGCCTCAGATACGTCTGGGGTAAGTCTTCTGGGTGGTCGGCCACACTTGGGATGCAAGGCGCAAAGCCCCTGTATGGTATAACGACTCGTTGGTTCGGGTTTCATTCGCTGTTGTCACATGAAAATTAATTGCACAATGCGGTCAAAAGTAAAAACCTTCCTAAGGAGAACGTATACTCCCCAAGGGAATAATTTTGCTTGTCCTCAGCATATAAGTGCCGCAATTCTCTGCGGCTGGCCAAAATCCGAGACCAAGTCCAAAGATTCTAACCGAGGTCCGAGTTGGCCGTGCTGAGTCTATCTTACCCATTCCATGTTCCGTGTTAGCCAACGGGCCGT